TAATTATGTCATACAATACATCCTGAATAGTCTCCCCTCCCTCCACTCCATGTAGATGTACTACTCCTCTGATTCCCTTGAGAAAAGCACAGGCCTCCTGGGGATATCAAATGAATACAGCATAAGAAGATGGAGTAAGAGTAGGCACAAACCCTCATGTCAAGGCTCAAGGAGCCAACCCAGAAGGAAGAAAAGGTACCCAAGATCAGACAAAACAGTCAGAGACTCCCCAATCTGCCTTTGTTAGGAGCTGCACAAAAGCCCTGAGCTAAACAACCACAGTATATATACAGAGGACTTGGTTCAGACCCATGCAGGCTCTGTGATTGCTTCTTCAGTCTCTGTGAAGCCCCATGAGCTGTGTTTAGTTGAATCTGTGTGCTCTGTTGGCTGAGGTTTTGATCCCTTCTATCATCCTGCCTTCCTGTCTTCCTTGAGGTTCCCTGACCTCTGCCTAATGTTTGGCTGTGGATCTCAGTATCTGCTCCCATCAGCTGGGAAAGAATGCCCACTGTTGACTGTAGCAGGAATCTTAAAAGGTCTTATTAGTAAAATCAAACCTGGAAGCCAGGTATTGGGTTAATACTGGAAGATCAGAGAGACAGACCAGCCACAGCTACCTCACCTTGCCAATCCCTCAGCTGATCCTATTTCCTCAGACTGGAAGCCTCTGAATCCTCATCCAGAATGAATCTCAGCTGAACTGTTACTAAAAGCCTAAAATCTTAACCAGCCAAATGCTTCTAGTTTCTGGTCTTCACGCCTTACATATCTTTCTGCTTTCCGCCATCACTGCCTGGGATTAAAGGCTCACCTTCTGGGATTAAAGGCGTGAGTCACCATGCCTGGCTGTTTCCAATGTGGCCTTGAATTCCCAGAGATCCAGTGGGATTTCTGTCTCTGGAATGCTAGGATTAAAGGTTTGAGTGCCACCATTTTCTAGCCTTTGTATCTAGTGGCTATACTTTCTCTGAACCCAGATAAGTTTATTAGGGTGCACAATACTTTGAGGAACACAATACCACCAAAGTTGACGATTGGGCTAGGTACCAATCTATGAATATACAAAATTTCATTAGGTTTCTTTAATTGATGTGTGTGTGTGTGTGTGTGTGTGTGTGTGTGTGTGTGTGTGTGTGTAGACACTGAACAAACTTCCACAGCTGAGCAGAGCTGGATGGACTAAAATGGCTTTCTTTAAACAGAAACACTACTGGAATCCACAATCTGATTTTAAAATTTTTATTCACTTTGTATTTTGGGGGGTTAGGTACAGTCTACAGAGATGTTTGTGCCCATAGAGACAAGAGGAGAACTGTACAAGGATCATCTACAAGAGCAACAATTGCTTTTGTCAACTGATTCATCTCTCCATTCCCACACACTGAGTTTGGAGAAAAATGTCTTCATTCTCTTCCCCTTCTCTTGTAATCAAATATTCAGGTTTGTTTTTTTCCTTTCTGAGTCCTTGACCATATGTTCTGCTCAGTCCAATCCAGACAAGTTTCTCCAAAGAAACCCTGTTGTAATGTGCTTGGGGCCAGCAATTAAATATGAATTCCAGTTTACAACTCATTAGACAAAAATCAAACCAGTAGAGCAACAGGGAAAAGGCTGAGTAGATTGTACCCGAGTCCAGACCTTCCCCTCCCACACCCTTCCATTCAACTCATTTACACCTGTATTAAAGCCTCATCCACCATCTGTCTTTCCCCAGATTCACTGTAAATGTTACACAGATCCCATAGTCTATCCAGGTGTAATTGATAACTACACTGGCTGCTGCTTCTGGAAGAAACATGTAGGTCACAGCAGACCAGGTACTAGGGTCGATTTAGGCTTTTAAGGGGGCTGCCGGAAAGGGCAGTGAGCAGAAGCCAGGGAATGGTATGCTTCAGCTACCAAGTGGGGACATGTCTTCACTATTGTCTTCCAGCCTGAGGTCTCGGAGACCTCAAAAGCATGTGCTGTAATGAAATCCAGTGCCTCAGTTTTCAGCTGCCTTGCTCTATGGAGGTGAACCAGGAAGAGAGTATGGGCAGCATTCTCTACAGAGAGGTCCCTGAAGAGGGCATCCTCACACATGACTTTCAATCGCTCCAGGCCATACTTGTCAGCAGCTGCCATGCTGTCCAGGTCTGGTGCTTTTCCGGTGTAAATGAAGTCCATCAGTGTCTTGAAGACTTGTGGCTCTAGGTCATGGATCTCAAAGCGGTTATTTCTGCTCTCCTCCATGTCATGTTGAAACATGGCTCTGAAAACTGGAGAGCGAGCTGCTAAGATGGCCTTGTGAGCCTGAAATTCTTGGCCAGCTGCCACCAGGCAGCAGTCTGTGAACTGGGAATTCTCCCACAGCTCTCCTAGCTCATCTGCCAATGTGCATCTGGGAACCTGAATTCTTGGCTTTCTGTTCTGGTCAGAGATGGGCATAGAGTCATCAACCATACTCACCTTGCATAGGAGGGTGAGCTTGTCATTTGGGAGAAGCCAAGGTGCAAAGGACAAGAGGAAGTTTCGAAGGATGAACTTTTTATATCCCAGTTCAACACCTGGCTCAAACCTAGATACTATAGGTTTACTCTCTCCATGGGTTGTCTCTCCTTCCGTGCTGAACATCAAGAACTGGAACTTTGCCCAAACAGGACTCTTTAGACAGCTGAGCAACACTAGGTAAACTGACAGGTAATCTGCACTTTCCTCATCCACTCCCTTTGGGTGTACTCTCAAACACCATTTGTCATTGACTCCTATGGAGAAAGTTGGGCTTCTAATACTTTCCTGAATTTCCCCCAGAATAAAACGGAAGTTGCTGATGGTCCACCTGTAGTAAAAATTCTGGACGTTGATTTGGGTGTGGTCACATCTCTGGGCTGTCTGGAACCCTGACATTTCTGGAGGTAGTTTGAAGGTTAAACTGGATCTAAAATGAAGAACTAGCAATTGTTTTCTCTTCACTCTGTGGGATACAATAATAAACCTGGTTTAGATTTTCAGTTTCTATTTTTCATTTGTTCCATCTTCTATGATGGTGGAAACTTGGGTCTGAAATTTTCTATCCAGATTTCAATAGTAGTTTCAGAGAAGACAGTTTAGGCTACTAGGGACTCTTACATCACTCTATTTTTTATAGATTGAATCTTAGGTCAATAGGTACCCAGTTTTCATAACTATAGACAACTTTTGAAAATTTGGGACATTTTGTACACTCATATCAAAGATGTTATACTAGGGTTCTGCAGAGTAACAGAACATATATAATTAATCTTTCTATGTATGAACAAAGGGGATTCATTGGAATGACTTAGGGCTGTAGTTCTGCTATTTCCACATTGGCTAGCTGTGAAGAGAAAATCCAAGAATCCAGTACTTACTCAGTCCAGGAGGTTGGACGTGTCCCTGGGTCTTCAGTATATGTTGGAATTCTGAAGAAAAATTCTCTATTGCCAGGGAAGAGATGAAATTGCTTCAAGGTGAGGGCAAGCAGGCAAAGAGCAATGGATTCCTCCTTCCATGTCCTTTTATATGCTTCTAACAGAGGGTGTGGCCCAATTTAGGGTGTGTCTTCTAGTTTCAAGTACTGGATTAAAGGTGTGTGTCTTCAGGCCCTGAAATCAGGATTATATGTTTGTTTCTTTTTAATTTCAAAGTCTGTATTTGAAGTGTATCTACCTACTTCAACTTAAGCAAAACATTTCTCACCGTTTTGCCCTCCATATTAGGATTTTAGTTAATTCCATATCTAGTTAGGTTGAGAATCAAGAATAACCACCAAAAGTGTATTTTGCTTTCTGTGGTTCATCTTCTGTAAAATAAAGGTTTGTGTCCATTCCACAGAGCTGTTATCTACTCTTCTAGGGGTTTTACACTGATTCCTACCACTAACATGATCCAGGAGAGGTGTTTTCCTTACCCTGTCAGGGAACTCATGGTTCACAACATGGAGGTCAGGGGGTAAGAATTCATATACAGTGGGTAAGAAGCAGAGCCAGGCAGGAACCCTGAAAGTGACAATCTTTTTTCCTGACTTTTATTCATCCAGATTGACAGCCCCAGGATGGCACCACCAACTTTTGATAGTGGTCACTCCCTCCCCCTCAGATAATCCTCTTTAGAAACCCTCTTCCAGATCCAGCTAAGGGTGTGCTATGAGAAGATCCTAAGTGCTTCTCAATTCCATCATGCTTACTGCCAAGTTTCAGCTTCTTAATACCTCATAATTTTCATCCTTCACTGGTGAGTTCTGTCCTTTTAAACTTTCAACTTCCATGCTTACTTTGCTAGGACTTCAAAGAGAGGATAACAGTGTGTGGTATGTAAAATGAAAAAAAAAACTTTAAATAAATAAGCAAACCATTTTTAAAAAGTGAGAACACATTCTGGTTTCCAAATAGTGCAGAAAATATTCAACAGTTACCAAAGAAGGGGTTTTGAGAGTGTTCCCCTTAGAATGTGATGTGTTAAATGCTCCCCACATCTGTCATCTCTCTCCAGTTCATCAGGTCTGGAGAAATTCACTAAGCCTTGAAGACATGAAGATACCTCAGTGATTCAATCAACTCAGCAATTCCCAGCCTAGGTCTCCTAAAGTCTGACTCCAGTGCTTTTCATCCCTCAATACAGAACACATCAATCAACTGGATTTGATGCCTAAATTTTTGTTTCCTCTTAGGAACCTTTGGCAAGTGACTATCTAGTAACATCAGTGACTATTCTCCATGTGAGTTTGGGGTCAGAGTAGCAGATACTGCTTCCCTCAAATTCTCTGGTCCTGGGCTTTTTTTTTCTGGTGGGGAGATTTTTAGTGATTATGCTATTTTACTAGGATTTATTGGTTTGTTTAGAACACATGTCTGACCTTGATTCCATTTTGCTAAGTGGGACCTATTGTTTCTGACTTTGTTTATGTTGGTGCCCTTAAATGGATCTGGAAGACTGTTTCTAAGCAGTGTTGTACCCCTAGGGTTTGGGGTCTCGAGTGGGCATCCCAGGAACCCAGACTCCAGGCCAGTTGATGCAAAAGCATGAGGTTTTTATTGAAGCAACTGTACAGACGGGCAAACTCTGCTCCTAAGAGCAAGAGCCACATCTTATTGCAGCCACATGGGGGTTTTTACAGGAAAAACACACAAAAGCCATAAGATTACAATTCCTATACAATTTTCTTTCACAAGATCATGGTCTGATCACAGAGTGTGTACAGTCAGGTCCCCATGTACATTATTCTGGAAACCTCAAGCAGGGTATCAGGGCGGGAGTGGAGTTTACACAAAGGTCACAGTGGTCCTTCCTGGAACACTTGCAACTATCCCAGTCACAGTTGAGCACATCTCTTACCAGAAATCTTTTTACATTGTTACATTGTTACAGGTTGAATAATGGCTGAGTCAGGTGGCCCTTGAAACTCGTTTTCTTTTTAGTTCCTTATTTTCTGGGGCTTGGGGGTGTAAGCCTGAAGGGTTAGGGTCTTTCAGTAGGATTATCTGAGAGGCAGGGGAAAGACCACCACTAAAGTTTGTTGGAGTCATCCTGGGACTTTGGGTCTGGATGGAATAAAAGGAGGAAAGAATAGAGTCACCCTCAGGAGTTCCTGGCTCTGATGTCAACTTACCATGTATGAAGTTTTCACCTGCCATCCATGTGTGAAAACTAAGACCACTGACAAGTTAAGAAAAACACCCCTTCCCTGATGGTGTTTATAGCAGCAGTCATTGTAACAACATACAAGAGTAAATAATAGCTATGCAAATGTTGACATGATCCCTCACTGATGGAAGACAAACCACAAGAAATAACACACCCTTGTGATGGCTATTCTTGGTTCTCAACTTCACTATATCTGGAATTAACAAAACACCAAAATTGAGAGCACACCTGTGAGAAATTATTGCTTACATTGAAGTAGATAGATCCATGTTAAACAAGGACTTTTGAGGAAGGAAGACACACACCTTTAATCCAGACCTAGAGGCTTGGGGATACACCTTTAATTGGTGCTACTTCATTTTTTAAATAACTACATATAATTCACCACTTATATATTCTCCTTGATGATGATGTCTCTGCTAAATTCTCTTAAAAATTATACTAGACCTTTGTTTTGCTTTCTCTTACATTTAATTTTTGTGTGTTTGGGTTTTTGAGTTTAAGCCACTTAAGAAGGACGACCTCAACTCAAATGAACTGTTTCCCAGGGCTCCCCTTAAACTACCTATGTATTCCAGGCTGCCACTGCAGATTGCCATTGCCTCCTGAATATAATTCAAGAAGGACATCACTGTTTTCAGCCTCTGAATCGTTCTTTGAGGAGGAGCTCATATTAAAGGATGTGGACCTCAAACATCCAGGATTCCTACTTCCTCTGTTTCCCAATGCAAGCCTAAGCCAAAGAAAGAAGATTAAATTATACATTTATTACATATATGGAGGAAATATAGTGAATTTGACATATTTCTAGACATTTTTCACAATGACCTTCCTGCATATAAGCAATCCTCCTAAGCCAGTCCCAAGAGTATATTGAGCTGTAAGGGTTAACCACACACACAATGAAAAGTAACTTTCAGCCTGATTTGGGTTCTTTCCCTTTCTGTTTTTAAAAGGGATTGCCCTTCCACAGTCTTGACTGTCTTTGAACTCATTCTATAGACCAAGCTGGCTGAAAAACATAGAGATCTGCCTACCTCTGCCTTTTGAGGCCTGGTATCAAATGTTTGAATTCTTAAATCATTAGAGAGACAACAGTAAAATGATTGGCAAGGGCAGGAATAAGACATACTGAAAAAATATTCTTTTCTTTCTTTCTTTTTTTTTTTTTCGAGACAGGGTTTCTCTGTGTAGCTTTGTGCCCTTCCTGGAACTCGCTTTGTAGACCAGGCCGGCCTCTAACTCACAGAGATCTGCCTGCCTCTGCCTCCAGAATGCTGGGATTAAAGGCCTGTACCACCACTGCCTGGCCAAAAATTATTCTTATATTAGTGGAATGTAGGTGGTAGGCCCTATGTACTCTAGCACTCAGAGCCTGAGGGAATGTATTCAAGAGTTCTCTGGCCTGAGCTGTATACTGAGTTTCACCCAGCATGAAGAAATGAAAGAAAACAACAGGGATACATTAAGACTTTTCTCTCCACCTTTTAATTTTGCTTAATTTTTCTCTTTCCCCCTGCCCAAAGCAGAAAGAGATTTTTCTCATGGTTTCTGTGTCTCCATACATGTATATATATTTACTTATATATATTGATTTGTTTTTATTTTAAGACTGTCTTGCTTCAGAGCCAGGCTAGCCTTGAACCTACATTCCTTTCACCTCATCCTCTCAGGTAAGAAGATTATGCATGAGCACCACCCATCCTGACTCTTGACCCCTTTAAGGAATGCTCTGGAGAATAAATAAATTGAAATATTCTATGAGTCTCTGACATCCTCTACTTTATCTCCAGGCAGCATTCTTCTCTCTGTGGTATTGCACATATGCATGCTCTCATCTGTGGGCAGCTGCATCTGTATGTTTTGCAGGAGATAAAGTCAGGAATGTCCAACATGTTAGGCAAGTTCCCTACTTCTGAACTATATTTTCACACTTTACCCTCCTTGGGCCTTCCCTTCATTTGTTCCTTTCTTAAGGCTCATCACTGTCCCAAAGAGAACTGGTTCTAGCAAGGACACAGAACACTTGGCACTGTAATTCTGAGATGGATGTTACTCATTCTTTGTTGTATGGGGACATGGGGATTCACATCTCTAATCTCAGCACTCACAGAGTGTAAGATTTGGGGACCAATCTGCTCTACATCAGGAATTCTAGATAGGCACAACTACCTAGTGAGATCATATCACAAATTAATAATGATTATGATGATGATGCTTTAAATATTCTACTAAAAATAATACTAATGATCAGTAGTTATATATATCCTGATTGGCTTTGAAAATTATAAATTTATAAACTCAAGTTCCAGCTGCTTTTGTAATATTGTCTTACAAGGACTATAATGGCTCATTAAGGAAGGGAATGGCTCAGCTGCCTTTAGCCTACTGGCTATGGGTGGGCTAGGACCTCTGTTGGTCTTTTCTGTGTTGAACACACAGATTGCAAGCCCAGTGCCACTTTGACATCTTTGGCAGTAGTTAACTCTGCAGCTCACACATGATTGAGCCTGTATGATAATGAGTATTCAGAGACAGGTAATACCTGGGGGGCACTCACCAACCTGAGACAGAGCACCTGTGTGGCAGGGGCAGGCATCTCCATGACGGGTAAGATGACCTGTTGACGTCTCAAGCAACCCAAGTCAGAAGCTCATTTTTTAATAAAAGGGGGACCTGTAGGTCCCTGGCCCCCATTTTGGGTAACTGTTGCCTTGCTTGCTGACCTTGACCCTGATATCCTCCCTATGCTAATTCCCTGCCAGGTTCCACCCTCCTGAATGCTTAAGGGAAGTTCCTTTTCTCTGTATCCTGAATAATGGACCTTAACAGCTTAGAAGCTAGATTGTAAAACATCAGTAGTGAACTACTGCCCTGCAGGGTTCTCCCATTGTTTTGTAAGCCTGTATTAAAGACCTCCTCCCTCCTCCAATAAATGACATTCATCATTTAAAATTAAAATATATATATAATCGTGAATACTGCGAATGAAATCTATGAATACCACAAATGTGATTATATCATGAGTGTAATTAATGAATATCATGAGTGTAATTTAAAAATAATATAATAATAATAATAACAATAATAATAATAAAGTCTTCATGTTCTTTACTAATGTTAAAGACAAGCTTTCTATACCATTTGCTAAACATTAACAGTGTGGTTAAGGTAATTAAATAGAAATTCATGAATTTGGCATGATGTGGTAGTCTATGGCTTTGACCACAGTAGTCTGAAGGCAAAGGCTGACTCAATTCTATGTGTCTGAAGCTAACTTGGTCCATAGAGCATCTTCTAGGAGAACCAGACATGCAGAGTGAAAAGCCATCAAAAAAGAAAGAACAAGGGACATAGGAATGAAATCATGACTACCTACCTCTTTGTGGGAGCCTACAGAGGTTTCCTAGTGAGAGCTGTGCTTGCTTTATTTAGCAGGACTGCATAAGAGGATGACTGGACCATGGTCCTAGATGCCAGGTGTTTGGAAGGGTCTATACTTAATTGTATCTAGAAAGGGGGAGGACTTTTTCTCCTCCCATTGGCAGGGTTATAAAAAGCACTTTTGAATAAAGTTCTGGGCCATTGGGTATTGACCCAGGTCCTCCTGAAGCTATCTTGTATTTCTGTCTTCCTTCTTCTAGGCTAGGCCTGCCATTCCAAGATCTGTATTCCTCCCTCCTCCTGATAGGAACCCTGTAAGAGGTGGGGGCTGGTCCCCCACACCGCTTGAATTCCTGCTAAAATATTTCAGACTGCCAAAGCTTTAGAGAACAGACTAGTTTTTCAGAGCTGTTCCAACATCTTGGCTGTCTGAACCCAATCTAAAGAGAAAGCTGGACTCAAAAATACAGAGATCTGCCTACCTCAGCCTCCTGAGGGCTGAGATTAAATGCTTGGCTTTTTTTAATTCAATTTTTTATTGATTCTTTGTGGGTTTCACATCATACATCCAGAGTCATCCATCTCCCTGTGCCTTCATATGCACCCTCCACCCTTACAACCTCTCCCACAAAACAAAACAAAATTCAAAAGAGAAACAAAAAAATCAAAACAAAAACAACCAAACTAACTACCACACAAAAATAAAGTCCCAGGGTGGAAGTTGTAGTGTGACATAGTGAGTCCCACAGTGTACCCTTTAGTCCATCTTTACTTTACTTTACATCTTTACTTGTAAGTGTTCCTTGCAATGAGTCATTGTTCTGGTCTGAGGTCTCTGGCTTCTCCTATACTGCTACATGGGTCCTCACTGGGACTCCTCTTGGATAACCTTCATTGTTGCCTTGTGTCAGAGAGATCCTTTGAGTCACAGAGATCCTGTAGCTTTGGGTCTGTAGGTCCAGCCACTTCACATGCTCCAGCTGTTCATACATGAGGTGAATGTTGGATGGGCCACCTCATAGTCCTGGTTCTGGGCTTGGGTGGTAGCTGGGTTGGTCAGCCTCCCAGATTTCCCTCATGGACACCAACAAGGTGAGTTGTCTAGCATTGCTGTTGCTAGCTCACCCACTACAGCAGGCAGCAAGGAGTACAGTCACCTCTCCTGTCCTCTCACCCTCAGGCTGTCTCACCTGCATCACCACTCCACCAACAAGATCAGATCTACTTTGTTGTCCTTGTGAGGTATCAGAACTTGTGTCCTGGTGGGGTGTCTGAACTAGTGGGACTGGGATCCAAGAATGCTCAGGATTCATGATGTGAAATTTCCAAATAATCTGTAAAAATATTTTAAAAAATCGGGGGAGAATTTGTGTGGAATCCATAGGAGATTTTAGCTGGGTGGGTGGGTGGGTGCGGAAGAAAGCTGCAGCTGGTGTTCTGTTGCAATTCTAGGGTGAGACTGGGGTATTGGATTTGGAGGGAAGGAGGAAGTTCTTCAGTTGGCTTACCTATTTCTTTGTCTTGTTCTGCTGGTGTGTTCTTAGTGAATGCCTGCTGGTGTTGGAGGCTGGGATGATGGGTTGAGTTGGGGGAAGCAAGATTGTGGAATACGATCTTTGTGAACAAGTGGGGATAGGGTCTGACAGGAAAGAGGCCACAGCAGATTTTCTACTACAGAGGAGAGGATGACACCAGGATAATGGAAAGTAGAAGAGTAAAAGTAGAGGTGTGGATCTGCATTCACCCTACTTGTTTCCCTGGAAAGAGTGGGTTAGCAAGGGTGCCTTGTTGAGTTGGGAGCTGGGACAAAGCAATGTGTCGGGGGTGGGGAGGTTAGAAGGGGAAGATGTATGGGATCTGCCCACAGGGTGCAGAGAAGGTTTCAGAGTGCTCTGCTGCAGAGCTTGGGATGAGACTGGGGGATTGGATGTGAAAGAACATAGAGAGCAGAAAAGAGCTGAAGGCAGCCTACCTCATTTTCTGGCACACATGGCCTAGAGTTGTGGTTTGTAACCTGTGTGTCCCAGTAGAATCCATGATCTTGGGCCAGAGTTACACCTCTCTGAGAATTTAGTATCTTGGTCAGAAGCTATACTGTATAGAATACTGATTTC